GCAGAACACATTTACATCTTAAGTGACTCCTAAGAGTTCTAATAGACCCCNCCCCCCTCCTCAGGGAGTTGCTTTCTGCCGTTCAGGGGGTCTATTAGAACTCTTAGGAGTCACTTAAGATGTAAATGTGTTCTGCTCCTCAATTTGGATGCAATCAATTTGCGATTCGGAAAGGAGCCCCGATTTTTAAAATTGGGCCCCCCCGTTTACCCCCCAAGGGGGGCTGGAGGAGCTTCGGGACCATGAAATTTGGATTTCTCGAGGTCGATTACCTGGGAAACCGTCCTTTTCTGGAGAATTTACGTCAATTTTGAGACCAAAGAGAAATTATGGAGGGGGGTACTGTCCCCCTCTTTAGGGGATCATTTATTAGCCTTGGATGGTCCGATTTTGGATTTTTAGGGGTCAATTCCACGTGAAATTTTCCGTGCTTTTCAATTCTAATGCGATCGATCCGCAATTCGGTCGAGAACCGTGACTTTTAGCATCGTGACCCCCCCTTTACCCCCCAAGGGGAGGTGGGGGGGTTTCGGGACCACAAAATTCGGATTCCTTGGGGTCAATTCCCTATTCAACCCCGCAGTCTCCGACTTCGTACGACCTAAACCAACCGAGAAAAAAGCCTGGTACGGGTGGTCTGAAACACCCTGTACTTGTCGATTCAGCCCTACAGTAAGTAGCTTCTTTATCCTTGAGGACACAAAAATCTTGGAGCTTAGAAAAAAGATGGAGCATAAAAAGAAGTTTCATGTCAGTTTCGTTTCACATCTGTAAGTCAAATAGGATTCACGATACACTCTTCTCCGCGAAGGTCGATTTTGTCGAAATTCGGCTAAAAATCTACCCACCATAAGGCCGCCACGGATACCACCGTGGTCAAAACAATTAGGGAAAATGGTTTTGATGCATCTTTAATACAAATAATCAAAGGACCGGGTAATAAAGGGTTTCGGGACCACAAAATTCGGATTCCTTGGGGTCAATTCCCTATTCAACCCCGCAGTCTCCGACTTCGTACGACCTAAACCAACCGAGAAAAAGGCCTGGTACGGGTGGTCTGAAACACCCTGTATGTGGACCGGCATAATGGAGATAACCCCTACTTTTAGATTTAATTTTTTTTTTTAAATGAAGGAGAAAAGTTTGAGATTTGACATTTTTGTGGGTTGTAACATGTAGGTATACAGGAAGTATGTAAACAATTTTAGCCCAATACACTTTGGTTTTTTGTTGTAATGACACTCATCACTCATATCTCTCACTCATTTGTTCAAAAGCAATAAAAAGTCGATACTGAGAACGCAATTTCTTCGACAGGACAGCCTCCTCAAATCTGAAAATTCAAGGAATCAAAGTTCATATTTAGGACTACAAACTGACAAAATTTAAATCAACGTATCCAAAGACGATAGGCAGGATAGAAGGTAAAGTATCGGTAAAATTTGCCTCACTTGCGGGCATCGCGTTTTCGGACGATTTGAACTGTCATGTAAGAAAGGAATGAGTACCACTAGGCACCTGAAAATTAGATCACAGACGCAACTTTTGGCGTAACTAGTGGGCACCAGGCAGATAAGTCAATCAGAGACGACTCGTAAAAATAGGAGGTGCCACTCGGACGGCAGATTAAATCGCTGCTCTTGTTTTCTCTGTGTGTTGACATCTCGATTTCTTGTTTGAGGTCAAGTGAGTTCTTCGTGAATATTTCATATCCTATATAAATCTGTATCACATTCTGACTGAAAATTTTAGGGAATCGAGAACAGTGGGCTAAAATCGTAAACAAATCCTGTGAAACGGCTCGTGGAGACAAGGCCTACTTACAGAAGAAAAGTGTAACGTATTACCCATCAAACTTTTTAAGAAATTCTGGAGAATCGAGTTCTGAAATCTCTGACTCAAGCATCTTTCCCTGTTTTCGGTATATTTTTTACATAAAGTGAACCCCGTATAATTTCCCCTAGGGGATCCAGGGGCATCCGGGGGATCGGCTGATCAAAGACGACTCGCAAAAATAGGGAGTGCCCATGGGCCCGAAATTTAAATTGCTGCTCTTGTGTCAACAATGAGAGCGTGGTTTCGGCGGCATGTCATTGTCTATGATCCGAAGTGTCGAAGATTGATGGCGGTAACGAACTGAACAGTTCAAACATGTTTTTGAGGACACCTAAAAGTATCTCCCCGAAGACAATTTTTCATGCAAGTTTACCGTGTGCATCGTTATTCTTGTACCAAAAATTGTAGGAATTGACTACTCACAGACAAATCCCTCCCGAGCTTTTACTGACCCAAGTAGGCTAACTGGATTGCATTTTGCAAAAAGGAACCACTAGCATTGCGATGATGCTAAGATTGTGCAACTTCATCTTTTGCAATAAAATTGCGGAAATTGTGAAAAACTATGACATTTAGATGGTAATTTGTGTCTTAAATTTACCGTTTTTAGCGAGTAAAATAGAAACTGTTAAGGGATAATCGGGTTTTTCCTCCAAGACAAAAGAAGTTGCACAATCTTAGCAACATTGCAATGCTAGTGGTTCCTCTTTGCAAAATGCAATCCAACTGTTCCGACCATTGTTTAGATTTTTCATCGCACTTATTTGTATAACTTACCGTACCTAGTCAGCGGAATGCGCAACCGGTCGCTTTTTGGGAAGAAGCAATACTTATTACATGAAAGAATGCAAAAAGTTGTGTCTGTAACCCAATTTTCAGGTGCCTTGTGATGTGACACGCATTCGAATCTTTAATCTTACGTGACACGTCAAATTGCCCGAAAACGCGATGTCCACAAGTGAGGCTAATTTTATGGATATTGTACATACTTTCCTACTTACAGTTTTTGGCTTTGGTGATTTAAAGTTTTACAGTTTATAGTTTTATGTATGAACTATGATTCCTCCAATTTTTAAATTTATCGAAGCTGTCACATTGGGGAAAAATTAGCGTAAGATGTAGGTGTCATCACAACAAATAAACAAAGCTGATTAAGTTTAAATTTGTTTACACACCTTCTGAATTTATATGGGGGTGAGTTCCCGAACTTAGGAATAGTAATGCCACCAGTTTTATTTTTGAGTATTGTCAAAGCAATGAGACAAATGAATCAAAAAAGGACATAATTGCCTTAGAGTGCACTTGTGTAAGATTCATGAAAAGAAATTATGAAAAATTATCATCATGTAGACATTGAGATCGTAAAATGGGATGTCTGTTACTTAACCGACAGGACATTTTATGTTATAAAAGTTTTAGTAACGATAATTTCTGATCGTAATTTATTGCATGAATCAATGCAGGGTCACAACTTTAAACGATCCTCAATCTCAACAATAGATGTATTCTTCTTTAATTAAATTGTTGTACAAAGGGTTCCCAAAAGCACTGCACACAGCCCTTTTTTGAGAAAACGGTAAGAGTTATCGACTTGCGATTTAAACAGGCCTGTAAATCGAATCCTTAGCTTGAAAACAAGACCAAGTGCAGGTCTCGAACTAAAAGTTTGCTAAAGTTATATCACTTCAAAGTTGACGTGTAAAAGTTGACCCTGGCGTCTTTCCTGCACTTTTTCTTAGTAAGAAAGAAAATGAGAGAAGCTAAAAGAGGAGAAAACCCGTTTAGGTATTGAAAAAATTTAACACTAAAACTTACTGAAATTTAGAAAATTAATCCTCTTTGTCTGATGAGTCAACAACATTGACCTTTTCAAAGTAATTGCTTTCACTTTTAACGCTAAGTTCCAGTCGTTTCCTCTTCTTGACAAGAAATGTTTTTTCGAATTCTTCTTGAGGGGTGGTTTTAAAGAAAGTTCTGAACGACATAAGACCAAATTTCTTCAAATGAGTTTAATCTTCTTCCTCGCCAATTTTTCTTAAGTTCTGGAAATAGCCAAACAGAGCCAGGTTTGGGCTGTACGAGGGGTGCAGGAGGCAAACAATACTCTATTGTTCAATGAATTCTTGCGTAAACTTCGCCGTGTGCAGTTGCGCATTATCCTGTTGCAGAAGCTAGGTTTTGCGAATTTCTGGACGCCTTTCCCTGATGTGTCCCTGGAATTACTGCAAGACTGTGCGGTAATATTCTTTGTTTACGCTCTAATTTTTCGTGACAAAATTTTGGTTAATTATGTCCTTAGAGTCAAAGAACTTTACCAAAAAAATTGCCGGAAAAACGCCAGGGTCAACTTTTACATGTCAGCTTTGAAGTAATATAACTTTAGCAATTTTAAGGTAGAGACCTGCACTTGGTCTTGTCCTTAAGCTAAGGATTCAATTTAGAAGCTTGTCTAAACCACATGTCGATAGCTCTTACTGTTTCCTTAAAAGAGGGCATTGTGCAGTACTTTTGGGACACCCTTTGGATATCTTTGAAAATGCTAAAAACTAAACCGACGATATTGCTTTTCCCGTTATCGTGAAATCACCCATATGTTAACACTTTCAAAAAATTTCAAAATTTTCTCCTTCATTTAAAAAAAAATCTATGAATTATCACCCTTTCGCAGTCCACATACCTCCCGATTCAGCCTAAGAATAAGTAACTTCTTTTCCCTTGAAGATAAAAAAATTTTAGTGCCTAGCAAAAAGATATAGCATAAAAAGAAGTATGTATCATGTCAGTTTTGTTTCAATCTGTAAGTCAAACAGGATTAAAGATACACCCTTTTCTGTGAAGGTCGACTTCGGCTGAAAACCTACCCTCCAATAGGCCGCCACGGATACCAGGGTGATCAAAAAAATTTGGGAAAATGGTTTTAATGCCTCTATCATGTAGATAATCAAAGACCTGAATACGAAAAAAAAAAATCGCGGTTAGTGAGGCAATATTCCCTGGATGATTTTGCGTTGAATGACCCGTATAATTTACAATGTAACTTATTGCAGTTTTTTGAAGCTGTTATATCCTCTGTAGTTAAGTGCTCCACATCAATCTAAATCCTTTTCTTTACCCTAAGTAGCCATCAATTTTATTTACTTCTGCTTTATCTGATCTGTTGACAGGCTTCGTTGGTGCAGCAGTGTCGAAGAAACGATTCAAAGATGGTAATAAATGGCTTTGTTTTAACGTTCTCTTGTGCTATAATTCTCTTTACCCCGATATTTCTTTTCTTTTCCTTGTATTCCGTCGCTGATCATTAAGTTAGTTTTAATCGTAATTAATCCATGTATTTCTCGTGAGCTGGTTTCTAACCTCATTTTAACTAACAACACTAGTAACACAAACTATCAATAATGTGTGTGAACAACTCAAGATATTTTCTGCACCTCATGCTCGCTATCATACAGCAGCATTGTGCATGGTTAACTTGGATGATTGATTACATGGATCTGAGACGTTAGAGATTTTCCTGAAAAACATGATTTTTTAATAGAAATTCAGATTGGTGCGGGATTGAGATGAATACAAATAATTTGTGCTTTTAGTATCTTAAATTACAAGAGGAAGCAATTATTGCAATCCAAAAATAAATGTTTCTCGTTGTGTCTGACAGCAAGGTTTTTCTAGTCAAATGGCATAATTCACCCATTTACCCCTTTGTATAACTGATCCTTTGCTTTGCATTTGAAAGAATGGGAAAATCATTTTACCCAGGAGTGTGTATCCTAGGGTTATTCTCGCGTATTTTTTGTTGACCGCCAAATGACTGCAGTTTTTTTCACGCACCAATTTTCTAGAAGTAACTGACATAGAGACTTGGTGTTTGGACAAATCTTGTAATTTTTTGCTGATCAATAATCTGAAATGAGGAGCTTGGAGGACAAGGCGCTTAAGTGCAGTTCTTGAAAAAGAGGCATCAATCATTTCAAGTAAAACTAGTTTTAATGCATAATCTATGAAAAATTCGCTTCCACATTCCAATTTTTGAGCATCAAAAAGTCAGTTTGAACTTTCTTTCCGCCATAAGGAGTCATGTGATTTTCGACTGAACTTCACTGCGACTTGCTGCTTTTGGGTGTCATTCATAGTAAATACCACAGTGTTGCAAAAGAACATTAATGAGCACCTGAGAAGTCTTGCAAGGGTAATACATACTTCACTTAAACAGCTCCATAATTGATTCGGGTTACCACAGCATAATGCAACCTTGCTCAATATTAAGGTTGTCTAGATACTTTTTGGAACTGCCTCCTACAGAAAATATCAGGATGTTGATCATCTTTTTCCTTAAAATGTTAGCAAACAATACTCTTATCAAAATATTGTACAGTATTCATTTTGTCCCCCTTAGATGTCAGTCCGCACTTGATTCACAAAAATGGGCAGTTGTGGCCACAAGATATTCCTTTCCCTCATGAAAAAGAGAACGATGGTGCACTCGAGAACGGGAATCAGTGTTTTTCCCCGGAAAGTAACGTTCAATTTCCCGCTTACTACAAAGATGCCAAAGGTGAGCTCCTACAAACTTCAACTAGATCACTGTCAGTCTATATTCATTTTTAGAGAAATACGAATCGACCTAATAGACCACTGGAAGAACAAACTGTACCGATAAATGAAAATTTACATTGTTTAAGTGGGAGAATTCGTAACTTTACTATGTAATTTACTACAACCTGGGGCATATTTAAAAAATCTGAAAAAATTGGGCTCATCTAAGGACTATTACTTGTCAATTGCCGTGAAAATCGGCCCTATAAAAGGCTAGATTGAACTTCCACTAGCAATGAAAATTCAGGTCTGAGAGCTTATAGTCCTAATTGCAATGCAGGCGTTCGGAAAATTTGATGTTTAGGTGGAAAAATGGCAAAGAAGAAGTATCGTTAAGGGCCTTTTTTGGGCCCACCCTGAAATTCCGCAACTCCGTGATTTTTTGGTCATTGAAGGTCTATATTTTACGGAATACATTTGAGTTTGGTCATTTCTGATCTATATTTCGGGGTTTACCACTGGCCTAAACATGGGTCTGCAGGCCAATTTTGGCGAAAAATGCGGGTTTTTCGGCATTCGACGCGCTGTTTCATACCGATCTCTTTGAAGGACAAAACATTCCTTTAAGTTTGTTCATTAGGGATGTAAGAGAGTCACTTTGGCCAGCATTCATAGTTATGTCATAGTGCTGCTTCATACCGATCTCTTTGGAGGACAAAAAATTCCTTTAAGTATGTTCATTAGGGATGTAAGAGAATCACTTTGGCCAATTTTTGTTGATGTCAAAATTTGCGTTCATAGTTAAAAAAACTTTTTAGAATTTTCCTGTTTTTCATGGCTATTTAAAATGGCTTAAAAAAGCGACTCATCTTACGCGATTGGAGGGGGGGGGGCGGGGGGTGTCAGGGTTGGCAGGACAAACTTTAGAACTTGGGATTTTGATTCATTCATTCCATTCCTTAATTTTTTTTTTTTAGATCTCCTAGTAAAACTACACAAGTGTGGACCTATCACGGCATGTAGGAGACTTGTGATGTTTAATACCATCCACTTTTTTTTTATTATTATTATTATTATTATTATTATTTAAAAAACCAGAGGATTGCGATCAGTATTTGGCATTCTGGAATTTTTTGCCCCCTGGACGCCCCTGAACTGAAGGCCGTGCTCTTTCAGGCCTACAAATTTCTATTTTTAGATGAAGGGCAACTGTGTGCTACCTCCCTATTTTATACCTCCAATTCTCCATATCATTCTCTTCCCAGATCTCAGTTAGGATTAATTTAATCTTTAAGTTCACCTTTTAGATTATGATTAGATACAGCACATCTATCCAGATTTAGAATTATTCTCTATAACTAATTATGTATGTTTATTTGTGCACTTATCTGTCATTTTTTTGGTTTTTGCAACAGGCATGATTCATGGTATTTTTGGCCATGCTGGTAAAACCTTCTCGGAAATTATTCAGCATGGCCGGAATATTGGGATGCTTTTGTATGTTCGTTGTCCAATCTGCCAAAAAGAGTTCAAGCAAAAATCCACTCTACTTCAGCATGGTTGCATTCATATTGAATCAAGGCCTTACCCTTGCGCAGAGTGTGGGAAGCGCTTCCGACAGCAATCACATCTAACGCAGCATCTGCGAATTCATACCAATGAGAAACCATTCACATGTATTTATTGTGGACGTGCATTTCGACAAAGGACCATCCTTAATCAACACTTGCGCATCCATACTGGTGAAAAACCATACAAATGCATTGAGTGTGGCAAAGATTTTCGTCAAAAAGCCATTCTGGATCAGCACATCCGTACACACAGTGGCGAGCGGCCATTTTGCTGTGCCATGCCCAATTGTCGTCGACGTTTCTCAACAGAAACAGAGGTAAAGCGTCACATTGATAACCACATGAATCTCAACTCAAATAGGAAAAAAATTGATAAATATTGTTCTAATAAATCGTTGAGCATGAGTGAAATGAATTCCGTCCCTCCAGTTATCAAGCCTGAATTCTATTTCCCACATTATTCCGCTCCTCCTGTCTTCAATCCAGAGCAAGCTCAGTACTCTACTCCACCTTCACAACAGACCCCAGTTCCTGCCTCGGACCCAAGTCCCAGTCCAGGGCTCAGTCCAGCTTCAAGACCAGGATCAGACCCTGGTATTTCTGCGCCAGGGCCCAGAGGCTCAGGTCCTGGACCTGGTAGTCCTATAACAGAATCTGCACCCGTTCAAACAATTCCCAATTCTTAAATGTGCTTGATGATAACTTTGATTGCATTTAAACCGCCCCCTCCGCCTTCTCCAGTAGTCGTCGTTTAAACTCAGTTCATTGTCAGCAGGAGCAAAGCCTGTAAATTTTCTCATTCTGTCATCACAATGCCCTTATGAAAAAACCGTCAGATCAGTTTAGTGTTAGTAGTCAGGAGGCATGTGTTCGAAAATTACGTCCCGCATACACGTTCATGATGCAAGTTGCCACTATGGCTTAATCTCTTCACTATGGTCCCTAAAATGAGATAATCTTTGGTAGACTCCCCATGTGTAAACACACGGCAGTCAATTTTCTGCTAGTCTCAGTCTTGCAATCCTCTGGTGGGCAGCGCAGTTCTGCTTCTTTCTCTTCCAGTTGTTGCCTGTTCTTCTGTGGTTCTTTTTTGTTAAAATTTACTGATTTAGTGGAAAAAGCTGTCAGGATTTTTGTTTTTGTCTCCGGAAAGTTTTGTCTTGCTCCTGATTGTTAGATTCAGAGAACGACCTCTACTGTCAATTTTAGCCACATAGTTTTTTTTCCCTTTCTTTTTTTTCCTGTTTTTTTTGAGAAATAAGGCCGTTGCAAAATTTTGACAAGAAACGGATGGTTCCTTGCCAACAGACTCGGTAGAAAGAGCAAAATCAGAATGTGGTATTGCAAATTTTTTACCATTATTTTCAGGAATCTTGATAGTTTAATGAATTAATATTGAACATCGCCATCTTTAATCCGTTTTGATAAAATAAACCAAAGCTATATAATTTTTTATTTTTTTCGACTGGTTATAATCATTATCACAGCATTAAAACTGCATACCTAACAATATGTACATCATCAACGGATTACTAAAAGTTAGTGATCTGTTGATGATGGTTATTTAGTGAAAAACTCGTTGTACATCTTGTTATGGAGTTTTAATGCTGTGATGATGACTATAACCAGTGGAGAAAGCATTAAGCAATGAAAAATTAAAAAAATTACATCCCTTCGGTTTATGTTATTCAGAAGTCTTGTTAGATTTGCAGCTAGCTGGAACTGGCAAGTGTTGCATATCTAAGTCAACTCACACCATTCTTTCCACCGTTTTTAAAGTCCTCATATGATCTTTGAATTGGTTGGCGCAGTGATCCAATACGAGAGTGGCAACAATTGGCTGAATCATATCAGATTTAGGTGTACATCCAATGACGTCATAATCTCTCTCTGCAACGACATGAACTATTCTATCAAAACTAAAAGCTTGAAAGACTTTTAAGGAGAGAATAAAATTTTTAGTGTATAAACAAATAAGATTTTATTTGTTGAAATGGTTTCAATGAGTAGCATTTTATTCGTTGGTGCAAGAGCACCAAATATCATTTCATTGAGGGGCTTGGAGGAGAGGGCGCCTAAATGCAGTTTCTGAAAAAATTGAGATAATAATGATTTCAAGTAATACGAGTCTTAATGCAAATTCTGTTAAAAATTCGCTTCCAAATTCCAATTACTAAGCATCAAGAAGTAGGTTTGAACTTTCTTTCCGCCGTAAGGATCCATGTAATTTCGAAACTTCAAACACGTAACAGCAAAACCTGCAATTATGGGCCTTGTCCTTCTAGCCCCACAAATGATGTTTTATTCTTCGGTACCATATCAACGAATTGCTTTTTATTTGGTACGTTGATACAGTTTTACAGTAGAGTAGGTCTCAGAAATAGTCTTTTTGCATTTTTAATTCTGAAAGCTGGTTCCAAAACAATGTTTCAGGTTGGATCCATACTTATCAGTCATTATATTTCCAAAAAAAAGTCTTGTATTTCTTTGCGCACACATTTTTTCACTTGTCATCCATTCATTTTATTAAAATTAGTGCTTTTTTATTTCTGTCGTGTTGTTACATTAGATGTAGGAACTTTTTTTTGTTATGAAGTAGACTTGCTGTGAACTACCATAACTTTTCCGTTTGGACGCTTTCCAGTGTTGTCGAGTTTAGACTTTGTCCGGAGGTGGCTACCGCCATCCATGATTAGATCCTGAATGAACATTTTCTCCAATAAGACATTCATTTTCAGCAAGATCAGAGAATACTTCTCCTGTAGATCTTATTCGTTAGGTAGATCCCCTCTCGTCAATAATGCTGCTCAGTGGGAGCAGAGAACATGATTCTAGTATGCTACTGTTCATGGTTATTTTAAATGATATGATCTTAAGCAGTATCCTCTCTTCTAATATTTTGTTTCAATACTGCATCATGCGGAAAGATTTTAGGAACTATTACTTACCAAGTTGGAAGGAAATTTCAATTTGGTTTGTCACTATGTTTCCCTGAACACAGAACAAAATTTGTGCTTTTAAGTAGGTAGGTACTCCACAAAATGGGCCTGTTGCAAACTTTTGCTAGAGCAAAAATAAGAGTTGTTTCTTCTAGATAATGCCTCAAAAATCACGATGAGCGCATCGGCAAAGTCTGAAATGCACTCATAACTTCACAGTCTGCGTAAGAAATTTGCGGTTTTTTGAGCTTCCCGCTTCAAAAGCGATACTACGGCACAGGTGAACATTTTGTAAAAGGAGTCGTTCCATCGTCGGCAATACTCATCATGGCCGACGCCAATCCGCCAAAACACGCCGTGTGATGGGACGAGATAATACCTGAACTGGATTAGACCAGATAACAATCGGCGTGTTTTAACGTTCATGTTTTCCACGCCCGAATTGATTGACCTTGAACTCTCCTCGAATTACGCGCGGAACTGCGCGCAAGCGTCGGCCATGATGAATATCGCCGACGATGGAGCGACTCCTCTAACAAAATGTTCACTTGTGCCGTAGTATCGTTTTTGAAGCGGGAAGCTTAAAAAAACGCAAATTTCTTACGCAGATAGTGAAGTTATGAGTGCATTTCAGACTTTGCCGATGCGCTCATCGTGATTTTTGAGGCATTATCTATAAGAAACAACTCTTATTTTTGCTCTAGCAAAAGTTTGCAACAGGCCCAACTTCCTCCAGGAGGAACTTTCACTCAAACACATCTTTGACACATACAAATACGGTTTTTAAAGTCTTTTCCTAATGAAATAAACCTGCCAAATTGGAGTAAAAGCGCTTTGTCAGGGTAATTTGATTGGTGCTATTTAATAATTAGTTTTTTTAATGTTTTTGAATTCCTATTTTATTTATTTATTTTTTAACCATCTTTTCTTTTCAGGTGGGTTTTTCTAAATTTTAGTGTTTAATTAATTTTAGAATAAAATTATCATTTTTACATCTATCCAATCGTAAGTTGCAAAAGTTTGACCTTTCATACATCTTTGTGCTGTTTAATTTGATAAACTTTTTGAATATTTTTTAATAACATCATTTGTTCATTTAAATTGCTCAAGTAGCAATCACATACCCTACCAATTTCAGGAAAGAATAATAACAGAATGATCCTTACAACCTTGACATGCTGGCTCAAAATGGAAGTAGAGGGTTTCAGTTTCATGCCATTTTTAGCAATCGTGTGAAAGAAAATAGTTGGCCAGCATAGATAACCTCCTCGGTTTAATAACCTCCTTGCTTTAAAAATGTATGAATCTATGTTTCACATCCATGAGTCCTAAATCAGGCATTTCTCTCCCTTTAATATAGATTTACTCTAAGGATTTTTGACTGATGTTATTGCACTCTACTTTATGGAGGTACTTCCTTTCAATTTTAACAAGAAAATCTCAAATATTCTTGTAACTTAACCTAAGAGACAACTGTTGTCAGAAATTATTGACCTTGTGATGTGGTTTGCCTTTCAGTGACATGTAAGCAAGGGAAACACTTCGTAATAGCGAAGTGAATGAAAGACAATTGTGAGAATTAATTATGAAGAAGTTCTAAAAGATTAGGATTCCAGGTTTAAACGAATTAAAAAATTAGTGCAGCTGTATAATGGGGGAAATAATAAAACTATTGTTAGTCTGCATGGCTAATGCAAAGCCGGGCATGGGCATCACCAGTTCACTGGAAGTCCCTGGGTTGAGGTTTTTTCATTGATTGGCATCAAGTGCCACAGGGCAATAACACTTCGAACTTTTTTTATGTATTTTAGGTTCTTTATAGCTCAATTCACTAACTTTTCTGTAAAGTTTCAAAAGTAGTTACCAACATTTAATTATAATCTGAAGCATGACGTCTCAATTTAACTGCTTGTTCCAATTTTCATAAATATAAATAACAACCTTAGCCGCGCTTTTCTGTTTTTAAGAAGTACCTAGTTATATACCTGAAATTTCTTGGACTTGTCAATTAGTCTCAGCTTTTAAATCTGACCTAACTCCAGTTGTAATTGTAATTAGTGCTGTGATCAGTACGCGAGTTTTTCCCCGAGTTGTGAACAGCAGTGCGCTTTTATATTAATAAGGAATCAAATATGAGCTAGACACAGTGTAACACTACACTACTCATCTGTGGATCCTGTTTGAATCTTCTAATTTTTTTTCTCAAGGACTCGCAAACTCTTGTGTTATTTTTTGCTTGTCGACTCCAAATCTTAAGTGCAGCTCTTGTGCTGGCTTGTCTATTGTTCGCACAGTCCATCATCAATAGCAACGAAGCTATTCTGACCTCAGAAGGTTTGTTTGCTCTTTCATTTGAGCATCAGGTGATAGCTTTGTTCTCAGGAAAAAGAAGACTGAAATTTGAAAGGCAGATCATCAAAGTCAACTTTGACCCTTATGATCTGTTGTAATTTCTTTTTCCAATTCGTAGAATTCATATTTTTAAAATTCATTTCCGCAACACTGAATTTTGATTAGGTTGCTCAGCAAGGACAATAACAGCACATGCGGTCCTAGGTAGGGCTATCACAATTTATATTGTAAATATAAGAATTTACCGCTCAATGCGCCGAATAGCGCTCAATGCGCAATGTCAGTAATGGCACAGAACCTTAATTTTCTGTTGCTCTGTAACCGTTGTAAATACCTTGTTACAACTGTATACGTTTTCTAATGTGTGTAAAATGTTACTATTTTATCTGCAGTTAATGCCTGTCCTCCCATCTATCCATTTAATTCCTCACTTATTACCTAGAAGAACTCAGGTTCATGTAATGTGAATGAAAAAAACTAAAAATGAAACTTTTTTATGGTGAAGTCAATTTTAATTTTTAATACCTGTTATCAGTCATGTTGTCTATGAAACGTTTCATCTATTAGAGTCAAGAAGATGTATTTACGTGGATTAAGCTCACAACTCAGAGCCTTTTCCATGAATACTATCTGGATTGCATTCTGCAATAAGGAACCACTACCTATCTCTGGCTCTTTCATAAAAGCACATATCTGCATAGGGAAACCAATGGCATGTATGTCGTTTCTAAAATGGGCTAGAAATAGTGGTTCCTTATGACAAAATGTAATCCATCTAAGCAACTTATCCTCAGTGCTTTGCCATTATCCAACGAAGTATTTTTCCTCTTCTTGTGTCAATTTTTTACATTATTGCTTTGTCTTTCATTTCACTGATCAGTGTCATTTTAAAATTTTATTCTTTCTAAAAATGTTATTCTCGTCAAAGTTTAACAATTTTAAGAACTGATATGGTTTTGAGAAGAATTGCAAAAATGCATCCAAAAGTGCATGTTCACTAAAATATTGAGGATGTTGCCTTTTATGTCATTTCAGCATTAATTCATTAGAATGATCGGTTACAATTAGTTTTTTCCCCCCAGACACAGTTGTTTCCCGAGTCACTCAGGATTGGATTAACCAAGTTAACACTCCCTGTTATACCTGTATTCTCTTTTGAATTATGTTAAGAATAATCTTAATTATCAAAAAAGAAACCTTGCAAATTCTTGAGAAGCAACAAAGACTGCCCCTCTTCCAAAATAGCAGTGTGATGGAACTGCGCGGCATATTGCAAAGGAAGGTGTGTGTTTTCCCATTACTATCATTTGGACTCAATTTTGCAATTTGGAACTATAAATTCTGGCTCTTCTAGAAAAACACTTATGTGCATAGGGAAACGAATGGCAGATACTTTGTTTTTAAACCGAGCTAGAATTTATAGTTCCAAATTGCAAAATGTAGTCCATTTTTTTCTGTCTTTCACAACTCCTGTCAAATATCTTTTGTCAAGAGCGTGAAGTTTGCTCATAAATTGTACATCGTACCTGAGAATTGTTTAAAAAATCCAATATGTGACTTCGGTTTCTAAATGTATGTTTTCTAAATAATCTTATAAGTCTCACTCTTCAGAATGAAGCTATGAGCTTTCTTGGGGTCTATCTTTAAGTCCTCTGTAGTATGTCTTTTTAATTATTTACTTTGAATAATGAAAACTCCGCCGAAAAGTAGGAGGGTCTGTCAGAAAGTAAGCTCATCTATCTAATAACTCCCAAATCAAGATTGACAGAGAAAATCTGTAAAAAGCTTTGAAAAGCAACTGCTCTCAGCTTTCCAACGCGCTAGAGATTTTTAAGCTCGATTCAATGAAATCCTAGAAAAATGGGTTTTTCTGAACCTACCTCTACTTGGATCCAATTTAACGGAGCGTCATCAGCAAGTAAGCTGTAAGTAAGTAAACGGCAAGTAAGTGTCTGTCGTTTATTGCAAAAAAGTGGTTTAGAGATGGTTGAAAATAATGCAAAGAGTAAGGAAGAACATTTATAGGCTAGGAAGTAGCAGGATTGACCGTATACCTTTGAAATCAGTTGCATCGGAACAAATGTTAACCAAATTGTCAATGTTAACTCTCACTGGCTGACTCACATTATCCTAACAGTTCTGGAAGAAATTTCTTTAAAGACACATCATTTTGAAAAAAAAGCAGCGTTTAAAACATCTTTACCGTAAATTATTCTGAATGTGAGCAGTTAGGGTCACCTTTCTGGGCGGAAGAACGAATTATAGAGTGCAATTTACGTACCGGAACCAAACTCAGCATTCCAACTCCACGAGTTGACCAAATGTAGCCCAACTTTTCCATGCACTGCAGTTGAGACCCACTAATTGCCAAATAATCCAGCACTTTTCTAGTTAAGGGATGTACTTTTTCATGTCTTACATGAAATTCAACCACCCCTAAGTCACTTTCTTGCGGTAAGTGTTTGATGCAGCTAGACGCTCCTTGCTGATGACTTCCCATGAAATTTTGGACCTGCAAGGAGAGGAGGTGGGTTCAGAAAAATCCGCTTTTCTGAAGTTCAAAGTTGAACAAAATTTAAAAATCTTGTAGTCAAGGAGTGGCTTTCAAGTCACGCTTTTTACAAGTTTTCTCTATATAGATCTTATTGTTAGTTCAAGAGATATTAAATAGACATCTAACCTTACTTTCTGGGCGATCCTTGCATTTGCAGTTGTGA